GGTGCCAAGAGAGCTAGTAACCACTCAAAGGTGATTTTGAACCTCTCAGAAGCAAATTTAGAACTTTTAAGCCTAGTCGGTTCTAGTCAGTATCTGTAATCGGGAACCATGGATGTTATCCAGAACCACTCACTCTATGATTCATCAATTCAGTGAACATGAGGCGCAATCTCGTTCGTTTGGTGGTTGTGCATCAACGGTTAAAATATCCAGCTCTGTACGGTAAACTCCGTTCGGAAGTGATGAACCCCGTAAGTGATTATTAACACAGAAGTGCGTATGAAACAGAATGCTTGACAGTTTTGTAAACAACGGTTTTGATCGTTATTCTTGTAGCTCAGGTAGTTCAGTTGCTCGCCGAGCTTGATAATTGTACTGCAAGCGTTTTATCACCAATCGAAATGACATTTTCAATGCAGTAACTGGGTAAACGCTTACGTGTGTCCCTATCCTTATATAGGTTGTTGAGTGACGTAGAGACGTGGTTTTGCCGAATTAGTTGATGTTTGTTCACCTTGTGCCGATAGGGGTGAGGTGGACGCGTGCGCCGGTCGTTGATTGATCAGTAAAGTGTTACTATTTTCCCTTCTTTGCTCTGATTGGCCTTTATAGGGGAGCAGACGTGATCGATGTCATTCTGTCGGTTGACGGAGTTTTCCTATGAATGCCTAGCTTCCAGAAATTTTCTTACGTGTTTGGTGCAGGCCTGATCGACGACTTTGATTTTGTCAAAATCGAAGTTGTCTCCTTCTGGGTCCTAATGCATTAACATGAGTAAGAGAGCATCGTGTTTTTGATGACCAGTTTGTATTCGTGCATGCGCGTTGCTAGTTTCATCCCTGTTTGGCCGATATAGTGCTTGTTGCACTCTTTACAGCCGATGATGAGGTAGATCACATTTGTTCGATTTTTGTCTTCCTGTCGCTTTTTGGTTTTCCATAAGATTCTCCATAGTGTTATCGTTGGCTTGTGGGCGACTTGAATATTGTGTGGTCTCAGTATTCTCGTGGTCAGTTCAGAAATGTTCTTCTCATATGGCATGCTTATCAGAATGCTTATTAGACATGATGAATGCGAGAACGGTTAGATATTTGAACGGAAGATTCGCCTGCGTAGTAAATACGTAGTAATAGAGACAAAAATGCCAATATTTAAGGGTCACTAACGAAGATGGACAAAAGTTAGAGGAACAAAATGTGACTTCCTAGACTCATAACGAAGTGTTGCAATTATCTGCACCCCGAAATAAATCAAGGAAAAAAAAGCGACATTATCCCGTCTGTCAGTATTTCTAGGTACAGTAAGTGTCACTTTGTTTATCGATCGACCAAATTAGAACACACAATCTATAGTGAACA